CATTTCAGTACAATCAACTTGAAAAAGTGCATGTACCATTATATGACCCCTTTAATACAAAACCATAGGGCTGCTCAATTATGGCAAAAATTATAATTATTATTTTGGTCAATACTGTAACTAGGGATGTGCGACTAATTTCATAAACATTTAAAGTGCCCCTATTATGCTATATTAAAGGCTCCTAATGTTGGTTTGGGGTTCCTACAGGTTTACATGCATCAAAGATAAAAAAAACGGATTCATTCTCTCATAATACATTGCACATCACCACATTTTTCAATGACTCTCAAACGACTTGATGGATGAATCAATGTTTCTAAATCCCTCCTTTCCGCAAACTATCGCTCTGATTGGCCAGACAGCTAAGTCTGTTGTGATTGGTCAACCGCATTCAGCGCTCGTGTCGAAAAACAAAAACGCCCATTGCCATAACTGAACGTCAGCTCCATCCGGAGGCTTCCTGCAGCTCAGCGATTGTACACACCGTAAACTAAAGACCGTAGCGAACAATGACATCAATTTTACCATATCAATCCGAGCTCGAGTCCGATGATGAAACATTGGAAGAACTAGTTGTTATTCAACCCGAACCTCCATCGCAAGGAAGACTTGAGCAGAACAGAAAAGGGAACATGTGAATTTATGTGAATACTCGCCAAAAGGGGAAATTTTGACTGCTTAGGCGTGTATCCTAAGCCCCAAAGTATACTTCGCTTGTAGGCTTGCTGCGGTAATCAGTGTTCGACCAAACAATGATTACATTACGGTACTTTTAATGGAAATAAAAACCATTTAGTTCAGTTAGACAACGGACGCTACAATTAAAAACTGAAAGCTCCTGCTCTGCTTCATATTACACAAGCTTTAGCGTTGCAGCACAGTGCAGACGGAGTCAGTTTTCACTGATCACATGACAAGAGTAAGGAGAGAAGAGATGACTGATGGCGGAGGATTTGAGGAAATTAAACATCCCTCTTTTCCACCTCCCTTTTAAATCACTTGTGAATGCCGTGTGCATTTTACTTTTGCCTTCAAATTAGCGGCTATTTGGGGGTGGCAATACCTTGAATTGGTGGGTTTATTATTATTCTTAATGAAAAACATAACAAAACAGTACAATGAACTCGCTTGTATTAAACAGAACTTTTATCAACAAAATGAACAAGCACGGCATACACCATGCAATAGACCTAATATAAAATAACTTACACAATCTGAATAAAAAAAAAAACTGATAATCAGCAAAACCAAATCTTCGGGCATTGTCAGTCAGCTCGCCTCAATCTCATCACGCGATAAATGAAACCTGACTCCTGCTGCTGATCTCTCGTTCGGCTCATGCTGAATTGAGCAGATGCGTTCAGTTTTTAATTGTGTCTGTTCTGTAACACTGGTAACATCTACTATCGCAGCAGGCCTAGTGCGCAACATATCCTGTGTCATTGACAAATATCTTCTAAAATGTGCGATCAGTACCACTGCTCCCTATACAGTACACAATGTACGTGTGATAGCAAAAGCTTAAAGGGGTGGTATAATGCCCTTTTCACAAGATGAAAAATAAGTCTTTGATGTCCCCAGAGTGTGTAAAGTTTTAGCTCATTTATGTAAATTTTAGGGTTGGTGATGTCACTAACCCGGGAGGAATGTAGTGTAGTCCCTACCAGCCGTTTGTTGTAGTCCTTAAAAAAACTATTTATTTAAAAGCAAATATCTTCCTTTGCTTTGAACTTTGAGCGTTGGAACTTTGCAGATGTTGTTTATTCTCAAACAGCAACATTACACACTCACTAACTAAAGTTAGAAAAGTGAAATCATAATCAACCACCCCTTTAAGTGAAAAGATAGCAGCTCTCTGTAATGCCCAAGAATAATAGGCCTATAAACAGAGTACGCGTATTGCGAATTCAAAAGCAAAAAGCAAGCACCTGTTCAAAATAACCCCCCTCCCCCTGGTGTTATCGGTAATACCGGTGCTGTCACAAGTTTATATGCTGGAGTGAAAATTTCTTCACTGTGACATCCCTATTCGCTGGTCCATGTTCGGCTACGTCTCAGAACATCAAACTGATCCTGCAGGGGGCAAAAGCTCAATAAAGAGAAAGCAACGAAATGCGGCACAATAAATGTTTGTTTGTTTTTCTCAATGATTGAGTTTTCATAAGCCAACTTTAAACTAAAATTTGTATTAATCGTGCAGCCCTACAATGACAGTTTGGTGACCACAGCTGTCAAGATCCAAAATCTAAGTTCATACAACTTGTGCAGTACATTCTTGGCTTTCTGAAGCTATACAATAGCTTTGCATGAGGACCAAGCTATTTCCCGCTAAAGTTAAATGTGGCGTCAACAAGTTTGACAGCTATGGTCATAGCTAACACAGAGTTAGCATCCTCCTGGTGCCCTCGTCACATTAATAAATCGATATGGTCAGACAATGTTGTCAAAATCCCTGCAGTCGTTTATCAGATAAAGAAAAGGTTGCCTCTCTTAACTGGTAATGTCATAATGAAGCGGTTTACACGAGTCAAAACGATACCAGACAACATCAGACGTGTTCTTTCCAGCTTGTTTGTGCAAAACAGCATAACTGTTCTTCACTGGAAGCCTCCTGTATTGATCAAGATCTCTGCTGTTAAAACTGTTCACATGACAGAAGGTTCCTCCTTCCTGGTGCAGGTATCCAGTTTGATTCTCTAAAGGTGACATTCTCACACACTCATCAAGTTCCCATCTGCTAGGCTAGATAAATGCATGCGTCACTAAACTTCAATGGCATTTCAGAATAGCCTATGTGAGACAGAGAGAGAAATATGCTGTGCATGTCGGATATGGATGCTTATGTATATTTAAAAGCAAAATGGTTAGATAAAGTCAATCAAATCACAGCAAAGTCATGATCATGCTACAATTCCCTGAAATGTTAGCTCTGTCTACAGAAACAGTACTACAAAAATAGGCTGATATAGCCTGGCATTAAGCAGGCCTAACTTGACATGTTTTTAAAAATGTGCAATTCTGAATGGCTATTTATCTCAGATATTTAAGCCAAAAGCAATGTGACTTCAGTTTCCATTACAGAGAGAACTGAAAATGAGTCTACTCCACACATAACGAGTATCAAAATATGAAACGACAGAAGGAATAAAGCACATCATTAAGATAATACAACAATGAGAAAGGCCAAGTGAACGAGGAACAATCAGAATTTGCAATCGAGGCCAAGGAAATAAAAAGAGAACAGATAAAACAGGAATTCAAACAAAAAGTGATTTATAATATATAATCTAGAGAAGTAATTGCTGTTGCTTACTCGTGCCATTGCAATAACTAGATGGTAGCCTACAGTAGGAGAACCTATTAAAATATTTATTGAAAATATCATTATTGATCATTAAAATGTATCCTATGGTAGGTTGAAAATACGTGCCTGAATGCTTAAACTGATTACATTCAGCATTAGCAACACTTTACATCACTATTCACTACTATACTATAGCCTAATAATAAAGCAAGATGTGGTTCATAAAAGTATTATATAAAATAAAAAATTGACTTGGGCTAGAATATATCAAATATGTAACAATTGCTCCCAAAAAAAAAAAAAAAGTAAAATTACACGAACATGAATATGCCACTTCACCACAAAGGTAAACAAGGACAAAAAAAGTGTCAATTTTAGGGACGCAAAATTTGTCCCCAAAATTGCTAGACAATCACATCCTTGAAAACGCACTAAGCATTCAATACACAGCATAAGCAGTAACAGCACATTCGAAAGATACAAAAACAAGCGCAAAATATAAACAAATACGTATCATTGAGACACTATGTGATATGCATTTAGAGATATTTTAACATGCAAATGGTCGCTAACCTCCATATAAGCACATCGAATCTCGTAAATATACAAACCGATAGATCCACATTGACAAAGAATGGGAAGAGCAGCGTAGACTCGGCGATCAATATTCAGGCTGAGCTCTGAGACGATGCTGTTTGAAAGTGGTCTATTAAATAGCGGTGACTACGCTGATAGGTGACCTGTATTGTCCTTAGGCCAGGTGACTATCATGAATGACGCTTTAAATAGGTATGGAGAAGAGTACACGGGCTGCTGGCCAGTCCAGCGTGTGTTACGCAATGTCAACACTGTGAGAAGAGGAATGCGGCGCTGAATGCGGCTCACAACAAGGGAATGCCCAGCTCGATAAGACAGCACTTTAATTAACTGATTACTTGTCATAACAGAGGCATAATTTATATAATGAGGAAGCAAATTATACTACAAGCCCCTAAAAGGCTTGTTTTATTTAGTTATCAAAGCCTGCTGTTGGAAACAGTGCAGTGAAACTGGGAGGGAGTGTCATTGCAATAATATGCGACACTGGACATTGTCTTGTAAACAATGTGGTAAACTGATATTATTACTGACAAATTAAGTAAAAAATCGAATGCTAATTCAAAAAATTACATTTCAGGGGAAAAAAATCATCATGATTTCCCTCATCTATTGGTTTAATCCTTAATCCTTCAAAGAAGGGCACAAGTTTGCAAAGTTTAAACATTTGGCTAACGTTAGTTAGCTAAACACTAATAATTGAGCAGCCATTCTACATTGAGTTTTATGAATGCCAAAGTAGTTTCACCAAAATAAATCAAGTTTGTTCAACCTGCATGCTGGCATAAATTAAGCTGCCGTTACCTAACCAGCAACAAAACTCTCTCACATTAGTGACACCGGCTATTTGAGAGAAGACTCGTTTAAAGAGGGTATAGTTTCAGTTTGGCTGTTTTACAGGATTTAACAACGTGAAAAGTTGTAGACCAGAACCCAACTTAGCCATATTAGCCACATATTAGCTGAGCAGTTCGTGGAATGTTAGCCAACTTAATACGACGACAAAATAACGACACAACCGCAACGAGACATCTGTAAGGTCCTGACAAGAATAGATAAACGGCTCGTTTGAGGGTGTAACGTTAGTTGAACTCACCCGTCCACCAGGCCAGGTTTGATTGGACTCCAGGAGAAATCCTCAGCGTGCTAATGTGGCTAACTTAGCCCACACCAGCAATCCTGGGAGGAACAGTTAGTGAGAATTCAGGAGAAACGTGTAAACAAATTCTCTTCTTGTTTATTCCTTTGGACCTTCGACAGCTCGTATAGTTGAGAAGAGTCGGTTTATTTACAGTATCCAGGCCGTCCGGGCTGACAGTGTCGAAGGTGATGACTCACAGGGAATATAAACTAAATCAGCTGTGGCCAGTTTACAGCTAACTCTCCACTCCCAGTCAGTCACTTCCAAAAAATGGCGGCGGGTATTTTCACCTCCTTCCCTTCGTGGAAAACACGGGAGAAATGCTGTGGGTAGCTCTTTAAACAACACCACGGGCACTCTCTGTATCCACCCGAGATATGACAGCCCTTCAATGTCGCCTCGGCCGTAAAAGTTATTCATGCGTGGCCCGTCTGTCTTGTTGTGGCCGGGCAGCAGTGATTTTCATCTCTCTCTCTCACCTCACTCTCTCTGCTCCTACTGCAATCCAACCAGCACCGAGGCGATGTTCGATTCGTGAACAAATCGTTCTTTTGAAACGGATCTTTTCAATGAATCGGTTGAACCGGTTTAGAAAAATAGTATACAAATCTTGCTTGAATCGGTCCGGTCTCAAGGCAATTACCAATTCATAGAGATGATGGAGCAAAAAAATATAGCCTATGTAAATTGTATGTAAAACGTTGTACAATTGTTACCTGTAATTGTAAATGAGATGTAATTTAATCTTACAAATACAGTTTACAAAATTATTTGTGAGTTATAGCATTCAAATCTACCGTTCCCCTAACGTTCCCGTATGGTTCCCATTTGGTTATTTTTTTGGGAACCAAACAAGAACGTTCTATGAACGTTCCCTGAATGTTATTTTTAGGTTTAATTTTATAACCTAAGGAGAACGTTCTGGGAATGTTCCCTGTGGGTTATTTTTAGGTTCTATTTTTATAACTTAAAGGGAACGTTCCCATAAAGTTTCCAGAACGTTCCCCTAACATAAGGGAACGTTCTATTTACGTTAAGAAAACTTTCCTGGATCACCAATAGGGAACGTTCTGGGAACCAAAAACTAACGTTCCCAGACCATAAAATTGTTAGCTGGGTAATAGCCGATTTGCAGAAACGTTTGTTTGTGGTGCCGTCACAAAATCTGCGTGGGGAAATCTTACGCACTCTTGCGAAATTCCAGATTGAGTGAATTCATATGACCGAATTTCACGGTTGAAAATTCACCGAACAATGGTAAATGTGAATTTCGCCTGCGAAAATTCTCCAATGGTAAATGTGAATTTGGCTTGCAAAGATTTTGATTTCAATGCACTCTTTTCACGGAATATGATTGTGTTTCCATTGTTATCAACATCGCAAATCTAGTAAAGTCATATTTCTCTCTTCTGACTGCTGTAATCAATCTCTCTATATATTTTTTTCTGCAGGTGGCTTTATTGGTAAGTTTTAGAGTAGGCTATGTTACGCTGCAGGGATCTGAATTGCTCGAAGGAACCGATCCATGTGGGAATGAGTCAGAGCATTTACAACAGGCTGGGCGGGGTCAAAACAAGTACCAAGCTGTGAGGTGTCTTCTTCAGTAGTTACTGAAATAAATGATTTATTACTGAATCTTCATTGTAATGGAAGCACAGAAGGCTTAGCCAAAAAGCTCTGAGCAGTTAATATCCATTAACAAACCATGGTTCCAAATCACCCATATTATAACTTTAATCAATATGCCCCAAGCCCATTAGACATTACTTTCTCTTTCTACAGGAAATGTTTGGTTGTGTGTAGGACAGAGGACTCGTTCAGTGTTTTTATCCTTGGTGAGAGTGAGAGACTGTGCAGTTGTAGTGTGCTGAGCTTCTTAGCTGATTAACATGTAACTTTAGGCTTGGTTTCCACATATAGCTCTAAGCCACCTGCCGGTCATCAAATTCATATGTTCCCACACCGCAGATAATAACCCACTCAAAGAATCAAACCCGAAAAGCATTGCTTTTCTGTTTCCTTCTGCTTCACTTACACTAATATGGCATGACAAGTATCCATACCTGGAAAACATGCCCAGACTGTCTCATAACTGTGAAAGACAGGCAAAACTGGTTTTATGGTTAACTCTATCTGTTGTGATTGACACAGATGGGTTGGCACACATCCTTGTCTTTATTGTTGACAGGCTTTTTTGTGCGTGTTAAAGCAGCCTGCCCTGTACACATTATAGGCCTATATATCTTTCCGGCATAAATTCAACAAGGTGCTGGAGATTTTGGTCCATATTGACATGATAGCATCACGCAGTTACTGCAGATTTGTCTGATGTGAATCTCTCGTTCCACCACAGCCCAGTCTCATCCCAAGACGTCATATGTCTGACGCTTTTGACCATACGTCAACATCCGACGTTTTAGGGTACCCTTTAACGTCAGTATATGACGCTATGAAATCCTAACCCTACCCCAGACCTAAACCTACCCGCGTCATCTAACTGACGCTAAAGGTAAAGCGTCAGACATATGACGCCCTAGGATCGTCATCTAACTGACGTTAAAGGGTACCCTAAAACGTCGGATGTTGACGTATGGTCAAAAGCGTCAGTCATATGACGTCTTGGGATGAGACTGTGTTATCCACCACATCCCACAGGTGCTCTATTGGGTTGAGATCTGGTGACTGTGGAGGCCATTTGAGCAAAGTGAACTCATAGTCATGTTCAAGAACCCAGTTTGAGATGATTTGAGCTTTGTGACATGCTGCATTATCCTGCTGGAAGTAGAAATAGCCAATATGGGTACACTGTGGTCATAAATGGATGGACATGCAGGTAGGCTGTGGTGTTTAAACGATGCTCAATTGTTACAAAAAGGCCCAAAGTGTGCCAACAAAATATCCCAAAATATCCCCAAAATATCACCGTGCACAAGCACCAGCCTGAACCGTTGATACAGGATGGATCCATGCTTTCATATTGTTTATGCCAAATTCTGACCCCCATCTGAATGTTGCAGAAGAAATTGAGACTCATCAGAACAGGCAACCTTTTTCCAGTCCTCTATAGTCCAATTTTGGTGAGCCCGTGTGAATTGTAGCTTCAGTTTCCTGTTCTCTCTGACAGGAGTACTTCAAGGTTCGACATGTTGTGTGTTCAGAGAGGCTCTTCTGCAGACCTCAGTTGTAACGAGTGCTTTTTTGAGTTACCGTAGCCTTTCTATCAGCTTGAACCAGTCTGGTCATCAACAAGGCAATTTCGCCCACAGAACTGCCACTCAATGGGAATTTTGTCTTATTCTGTCCATTCTCTGTAAAGATGGTTGTGCCATCCATCCATCCATCTTCTTCCGCTTATCCGGGGCCGGGTCGCGGGGGCAGCAGTCTAAGCAGAGATGCCCAGACTTCCCTCTCCCTGGACACTTCCTCCAGCTCTTCCGGGGGGACACCGAGGCGTTCCCAGGCCAGCCGGGAGACATAGTCTCTCCAGCGTGTCCTAGGTCTTCCCCGGGGTCTCCTCCCAGTGGGACGTGCCCGGAACACCTCCCCGGGAAGGCGTCCAGGAGGCATCCGGAACAGATGCCCGAGCCACCTCAGCTGACCCCTCTCGATGTGGAGGAGCAACGGCTCTACTCTGTGCTCCTCCCGAGTGACCGAGCTTCTCACCCTATCTCTAAGGGATCGCCCAGCCACCCTGCGGAGAAAGCTCATTTCGGCCGCCTGTATCCGGGATCTTGTCCTTTCGGTCATGACCCAAAGCTCATGACCATAGGTGAGAGTAGGAACGTAGATTGACCGGTAAATCGAGAGCTTTGCCTTACGGCTCAGCTCCTTCTTCACCACAACAGACCGGTACATCGACCGCATTACTGCAGAAGCTGCACCGATCCGTCTGTCAATCTCCCGTTCCATCCTTCCCTCACTCGTGAACAAAACCCCAAGATACTTAAACTCCTCCACTTGAGGAAGGATCTCTCCACCAACCTGAAGTGAGCAAGCCACCCTTTTCCGACTGGTGGTTGTGCGTGCCGTAAAAATCCCAAAGATCAGTTGTTTCTGAAAATCAGCCCATCTGGCACCAACAACTATGCCACGTTCAAAGTCACTTCACTCACCTTTCTTCCCCATTCTAAATATGTACCATTAAGTGCTTTAATTTCTTGCCACATTCAACATTTGTACCTTTGATATTGTTTTTTATGAAGGTAAAATAATGCCATAAAGAATCGCATGCGCAGGGTAAGATTTGTGAAAGTACATAAGATTGCAAGCGTAAAATAAATGTGCATGTGCAAGAGAAGATTTGTAAAGGTGTAAATCGCCCTTCAAGTGTAAGAAAAAAATATTTGCAGCATTTAATTGTTATTCGTAAGTGTAATTCATGTATTTTGAAGCTGCAGCTTCATGATAACGCAACATAAATAAGATCTGTATTCTTCAGACTTTCATTTTTCCGCGCTTACACTTTTGGCACGGTTTTTGCGCACATATGCGTCCAAAAGCATTGCAAGCATGTGAACAGCAATCTGCAAGCGAAAACAACAGGAACTGCAAAACAGATGAATTGCGTAAAATCAAACTTTGTGTAAAAATAAATAAACTGTTGTGTGCATGGGGTAAAAAAGTTCCCGAAATAACCCGATCTGTACAGTTGCGTCCCTCTTTCCCATGCGCTTCCAGTTTTGGCACGATTCTCTCACTCACTGAGTTTTGCAAGCGTGAAGAGGAGGGCGGGTCCACCTTCATCATGTAGCCAATCAAATGAGCTTCTCGCTGACACTCGATTTACTCTGATCTGATTGGTTCAATAAACACGCCAGTCACCAGAACACATCTTTATCTTCATTTGGCTCAGAAATGTTCTCATTGCCGAAATGGTACTTTTCGGCAATGAGATATTTATAGTAGATAGTAGATATTTTATATGAAAAAAAAAAAGACTAGTATAGTATGGATCATATCATTAATTCAGACCGATTCATTCAAATACTGATTCATTCAGTTCGGGGGAAACACCACCTGTTACTGTTAAACTGTACAGCTCAAGGAGCAAAATTATGGCGGGGCGATGTGTGTCTGAGCTGAAATGCTGTAAAAAAAAAAAAAAAGCCCATGTATGAGATCATTTTATTATAATTATAATTTTGTTAATTTTATTTTACTGATAACAACCATAGTGCCTTATTATAATTAACTGAGTAGTTTATCGATTAATATTAAGAACTTGACATATATGCTGATGTATAGCTTACCTATTTAATAAGGTTTGGGTAGATATAACATCAATTTATAGGGGGGAATATCACCACGACCATGGGCACGACAGGTGCTGTTTGATGGGCATGATGATGCTTCTGTCCTCCACTGCATGGGGTGATATGCGTAGCTCACTAGCTGCGTTTACATGAGCCCCTTTTGTTTTGATTTAAGAATAATTCCAAATTGATGACTTGTGATTAATCAGTATCTAAGAGCAGCATCTATTGTCACCTGTTATGCATACGAAATTATGAAACGCGAATGTAAACCGTGTATTGAGTCGCGTTTCAAACTCATTGATCAATATGCTTGCGTAGGAGTCAGTGAAATGTGCGCTGGTTTCTCTCCGCGTTCTGCGCTGGTGTGCGAGTCTCATCGACAATAAACGCAAGCTCTTATCAGCCCTATCCACCGCGTTTACATTGTTATTAATAGTGGATACTTTCATGCGCTTCCATGTCCAAGTGTCTGCTATCAGACCCGTTGAAGTGCAGTTTCTGTTCATGTGTGCTATGTGTGTTAACCCTATATAGCCTACCCTACATAAAGTTAGGGTGATATACATGACTTAAAATGTGATATTGTCCGCACACCTCTTGCGTTTCGTTTGGTCACACACCACAAGGTGTAACTGTGGCCTCAAAGCTTCAGCACTGCCACTCTGAGCTCGATTGCTGATGTCTGAGGTAAAACACGCCCCCTTCATTAGCATACGGACAAAGAAATGTCGAAATAAATAAATGTGGAAATAAATAAATGTGGAAATAAATAAATGTATAAATAAATAAAATGTGAAAATAAATAAATGTAGACAAAAACAAATATACATAAATGAATGTGGAAATAAATAAGAGTGGAAATAAATAAATGAATAAATATATAAATAAAAAAATAAATACATGTGTGAAAAAATACAATTATACATAAATAAGGAAATAAAAGTTAAATACTAATTTTTTTTATTTTTTTACATTTCTTTGTATATTTATTTATGTATTTATTCATGTATTTTTGCTTTTTTACATTTATTCGTATATTTATTTATGTATTTATTTATTTTTAATTAAGTCAGCTTTGGCATTCCATAATTAATAACAATGTAAACGCGGTGGATAAGGGCTGATAAGAGCTTGCGTTTATTGTCGATGAGACTCGCACACCAGCGCAGAACGCGGAGAGAAACCAGCGCACATTTCACTGACTCCTACGCAAGCATATTGATCAATGAGTTTGAAACGCGACTCAATACACGGTTTACATTCGCGTTTCATAATTTCGTATGCATAACAGGTGACAATTCAAATGCTTAAAACACAACCCATATTTCATGCTGCTCTTAGATACTGATTAATCACAAGTCATCAATTTGGAATTATTCTTAAATCAAACAAAAGGGGCTCATGTAAACGCAGCTAGTGAGCCACGCATCTCACCCCATGCAGTGGAGGACATCATCATGCCCATTCAAACACCATTCCAATAAATGTGGAAATAAATAAATGTGGAAATAAATAAATGTGAAAATAAATAAATGTAGACATAAAAACAAATATACATAAATGAATGTGGAAATAAATAAAAGTGGAAATAAATAAATGAATAAATGTATAAATAAATAAATGTGTGAAAAATACAATTATACATAAATAAGGAAATAAAAGTATAAATACTCATTTATTTGTACTTTTTTACATTTCTTTGTATATTTATTTATGTATGTATTTATTTATGTATTTTTGCTTTTTTACATTTATTCGTATATTTATTTATGTATTTATTTATTTTTAATTAAGTCAGCTTTGGCATTCCATAGTATAGAGCCTAACAAAAAATGACAGGTGGCATTCAAGCTGGTGGCATATATAGTACATTTATTTTATAGTATATATTTGATTAGTGACCTACACATAGTGCAGAATCTAAAATATATCTGATTTACTTTCTAATGTAAATCTAATTGTGCAATACCTTATTGCATCACCTAGAGTTGTTTGACACATTGAACTCACTTCATACAGATTACATCTGGCAAACACTTATTAGGAAATAAGAATAATAATCTCAAAAATAATATAGCACAAAGAAAAAGACAGTCAGCAGAGTAGAAAGGTTGAGGAGAAAGGCATGTCTTGAGTTTTTGCTGGCCCATAACATTTGTAATTGTAATCATAATACCTCAGCCCTAAGCTTGTTAAAAGATGATATCTGGAACAGTTTAGAACAGTTTCCACAGTATTTTATGTATTTCATACTTCAATATTGTGTGTGTTACAAAGGTACACTTTTATGCAAACAAAAGCATGATATTTGTGCTGTCATCAGATCAATAGAGAATCTGAGTGTTATCAATCCCACCTGTTTACAAACACCTCCAAGCTATCATGTCATAAATAACAGCTGACCCTTATTCTATCATCTGTAGTTCAGTGAGGATTAATGGTTGCTGACATTGCAGATTACAGTATATCAAGTTCTATTGACTGGCTAGCTATCACCTCTTATGCAACATCCTAAATTGCTATAGAGGATGTCTTCGGATTAATGTAATAGGCTTATTGCATTATTCATTATTTTAAGCATATGTAGCTAATAGATTTTTCATGTCAGATTTAACCTAACATGTTTTCAAATTAAAGTTGTTTAACATTAACTTTGCTGCATTTGACTTCGCTACAAATACGGCTTATTTAATTTATGCATTTGGCATATGTTTTTATCCAAAGCGACATGCTTTACGGTATTGTCAGTTCTTGCTCTCCTTGGGAATCAAACCCATAACTTGGCATATGGTTTACTGTTCAAGCTACAAGATGGCTCTTTATTTCCTTTGTGTAACTCTTATTGTTCATTAATATTTAGTCATTTATATAATTTAGGTCTGGTTTCTGTACTGTGTTATGTTCTCATTTGTTAACATATTTAGTCTGCATTCATTTTCATACAACTTTTATTATTGATATTGTTTATTTCCTTAAATATAATTTATTTAATGGTTAATTTTAAACCATTATATAATTTTGAGTTGCTTTTTACTTTTTGCTGTTTATTTGGTCCAGTATTGCCTCTTGATTTGAATGTGTAATTATCATATAAGTTTAAATGTATTAACTGAGTGCCAAATATCACTGATCTCAAGTGCTAGTTCAATAAAAGTAGTTTCTTATGTTTTTTTGTATGTTCATGCTAGATCACTGGTTGGTTTATAAAAAGAACACTGTAAAACAAATGTTGTTTTAACTTTAAAAAGTAAGTGTTTTTGCTGCCTTCACATTTTCAGTTTAGTCAACTCAAATATCAAATATTGTCACTTAGTACAACTTCACATTTCAAGTTGACTAAACTTAAAATTTGAAGGTAGCAGAAACACTTAGCTACTTTTTTTTAAAGTTGAAACAATTTTTTTTTTACATTAAAATTGGAGTTTTTTGTAATGTCACAAAAATGTTAAAAATGATGGGCATAAATTACTTTGGATATGCTGTGATACTGATGTGCAGCCCTTACGTATTATATAGGGCTATATGTGCCTTGTAACAGTGAAACAATCTAAGCTCCACCACTCTAACAGTCTGTTCATCACCATGATTTTGCCAAGACATGTTGCTAGATCAACACATTTTGTTGAACCTCCTAGAACAACATTCCTGTCCAAAAATTTGTCCTAACCTTATCACTACCCCTAAATCTAACCCTTACCCTACCCATAACTTATCCCTAAAAACAGAGGGAAATGACAGGTGAATAACACTGACGTAGAAGCACCTAACCCTGGTTGTAAGCCTAAACTTGACATAAACTGTAAACTTGTCCCTCAAATCTGATTGGTTGATTAGAATGTTGTTCCAGGATCAAAAAAGATGTTGATTCAGCCAAGAACATTTTGTACTTGGTGAAATCACGTCCACCCAGTCCCAGTCTGTTCAACAACTGCAGGCTATTGATTGGGTTTTGACCTATGTTTTCATCTTCAAAACCAAAGTCACAAATTATGTATTTATTATCTCCTAATAATGGATCTCCCCGTATATTAGAGTACAAGTTAGCACAAAATAGAAGCTTAAAGCAAGAATTTATCACTATATATTTATATTACATTCCAGATCCATGTCTTAATCCATCCTGCAGTACAGACAACCAGTGTAATCAACCCTGCAAGTGATAGCACGCGCTGTCATGTCACGTGAGGAGGAGAACCACACCACAACAACGCTGTCGCTATAGAAACGAAATAGATCGTAAAGTGTTGAATGAGTGAACGCGCAGCGCGGGACTCGAGCTGTTTGGAAGTTGACAGACCTAAACATGAAACTGTTTTACTACTTGCTGAAAGATGTCACGCACAAAATCGAATATTATTCAAGGTTTTCGCCCTCACCGATGTCAATCAAGCAATTCCTGGATTTTGGTGAGTAATGAACCCTTGGGATAAACTCATGGAGTTAAAGAACCGCCAATAATGCAACAAATTGTATTTTTGATGTAGAATTGTCTCGTGCTGAACTTGAATCAGCGATTTCTGATGTGTGTCTCATTTTGAATAATTTGGTTTTAATTTCACCACATATTCTGTGTGATTAAATCAACACACTTGACATGCCTATATTAACCTTAAATGTTAAGGTCAAGTGAAAGCTAAAGCTCAGCATTGGCACTGCCATCAACTGAATAAAAATAGACTCGCCGTTACATATCACTCAGAACATCATGAACCTGGTCCAATTTTCAAAGGCTAAATAATACGTGCTGTATGAGTATATTAGGTACAATAGATATCTATAATAAATAAATGCATTATTATTATTACACAACTTGTATCTCAAGAGTCCAATGTGTGTGTGTGTTTTATGCATGATGTCAAGCATACACTACCAGTGAAAGGTTTGGAAAGACAAAGAAATATATATTACCTAGTGGATTAAAAAAAAACTGGAGTGTGCAGACAATTCACTACCTAAATCCCAACTTCCATTTGTGTTATTTCACCGATTGGGTGACTTCATTATTATTCTAAAATGTGGGAAATAGTAATTATAAACTTTCTACTGGTATAGTATCTTTTTACAGTCTATGTATAGTATATAATTTATATGTTAATATACTTGAGGTGTCACATTCCTTCTCAGTGCCCTTAATTGATTGATTATTGTAATTCATGGTCATTACTTTCTTATTATATTTATAATGACTTTGCTTTTTTTTTCTAATCTTTGGCATTAAACAATGGTTGTAATACTGCTGTGTCACTCATACATACAGACTAAACAGGCGCATCATTGCATAACAAAGAATAACTTGTTCTTGCTTCTTGTTTAACCAGGCAGGGAAAATGCATGTGAAAAAACCTCCTACATGTTTCTGCGGAAAGAACTGGCAGTGAGGTTGGCCAATACGATGAGGGAAGTTACCTTGTTGCCCCCCAATCTTCAGAGCCAGCCGTCCGTCAAACTGGTGGAGTCCTGGTGAGGAGGGCAGGGCTCAGTGAGGGCCAGGCAGGGACGGATAAACGCACGGGCCAACCGGGCACTAGTCTATAGGGGCGGCCTGGACAAGCTGCCGGGGGTGGGAGAGTGATGATAGGGGTTGGGGGGCGGGGCTGTCGACTTACCCACCACCACCACCCGCTCAACGAGAAATCGGAGTGCTACGCTGCACCACTTAAACCCATACGCAATGAGAAATCGGAGCACTGGGGGCCTTTTGAAAGGTCAGTGGCCAGGGCACGACTGCGTCATCCGTCCCTGTTGCCAGGTGTGATGATGAGTGTGAGCTGTGAGTAAGCTGTGAGTAACAGTGACTGGGTTTGGTGTAAAGTGCTCAGAGCGAGTGTTCTGAATACATATGTGACAGTAGCATCACATAAGTTATAAAGCATTATTCCACGATTGATTAATAGTATATGCGACATTGTTGTCAAGTGCATGGCGTCCAGTGATCATCTTAAAACCGTTTTAATTCCATCTTTGTATAAAATATCTAAAAGTCTGGCTGTCTGAACAGATATTGAGATCTTAAAGGTTGGTTCACCCGAAAATGAAAATTCTGTCAGTAATTATACTCACCCTCATGTCGTTCCAAACCCGTAAGACTTTCGTTCATCTTCAGAACTCAAATTAAGAACTAAATCCGAGAGCTTTCGGTCCCTCCATTGACAGTTATGCAATGCTCTTTGACGCTTCAAAAAGTTCATAAAGAGATCGTAAAACGAATCCATATGAATTAAGCGGTTTAGTCCAAATTGTCTGAAGAGACTCAATCGCTTTATATGACGAACAGATTTAATTTAGGCTTTTATTCACATAAGTCCCCCTGTGGTGAAAATCAGGCTTTTAATGTTTTTTATATTTCTATGTGGTGTTTTTAATATGCTTTAAGACAAACCATGTGCAAATTCATAAGTCAACACCATTGCTGAGTATTTTGTCCTTAAAACCCTCAGTTGAACCAAAGACAGTCTGAAAACTTTTGAAATCGCTGGTGTTTCTGACGTCACAAACTACTAACCAATCACGTGAATGAGTGGATCTCTGAGCTGGTGCGAGGGAGTGGAGGCGGGGATAATTTTCATATTCATATAACTGTGTATGCTAAATGAGGCAAGGGTGTAGAGTTACATTCAAGCTATTTTAAGGCATGAAGACTTTTTTTTTTCAAGGAAAAAACTTTTAAATGTCATTTTGGTGATCAAAGATTATTGACTACAGGGGGACTTTCAAATATAAACATTCATCAACTCACACATCAGATCTGGTAACCGGAAGCTCAATGAGGTTCATTCTCGTGTTACGCAGCACGTTTGAGCTTCAACAATAACCAATGAGGTTCATTCTTGTGTTACACAGAACTTCATGAGCATCCGCAAGAGGATTGTTCTTGTGCATCAAGCAGGTTTGATTTAGCTTCTGTTTATGTTCGCTGATCAATGTTTAAATTCAAACTTCATCATATAAAGCGATCGAATCTCTTCAGAAAATTTGGACTAAACCGCTCAATTCATATGGATTAGTTTTGCGAGATCTTTAAAAACATTTTGAAGCGTCAAAGTGGTAGTTGCGTAGACTGTCAATGGAGGGACAGAAAGCTCTCAGATTTCATCAAAAAGATTTGTGTTCTGAAGATGTCTTACGGGTTTTAACGAGATGAGAGTGAGTAATTAATGACAGAGTTTTCATTTTTGGGTGAACTATCCCTTTAAAAATGTGTCTCAGACTGGAAAAGAAAGAACAGGTTGAGAACATTAAATTATGGGACACAGCACACTGAATGATTTTTTTATGAATAAAGTAAAGATTATTGGAATACATTTACAAGAAAATACTATTTGAGTCTTTCTACGTCAATTCAAAATTTCTCTTTTAACTCAATGTGTTGCTTGTCATTTGTCTTTGTAATTATTTGTTCGCTTTACTAGCAATTTATGAGTGAAAATCAAAGTAAATTGAAAGTAAATTTTCAGCATTGTAGTTGCAGTGTGCTCTGCCATATTTTGCTTAATTTTTGCTGATCAGTCATCTAGATATGCAGTGCATGCTGTGCAGACTCATACATTATACATGAAGAACTTTTAACATCCATGGAATCTTTCCATTACACAAAAGGTTCTTTACAGCTGAAAAAGGTTCTTCACACTAAAAATTGTTCACTGTTCACTCTCACTGAGCCACATACGCCACCTAGTGGTTATGAGAGGAATGACAGGATAGTTTTAAAGAAAGGAAGCCAGTGGTATACCATACGTTTTTTTTTTGTGGTATCAGGTACAGCAGGAGCTTTGAAGAGCTGTTAGAATACGAGACAAGAAGTCCAGAAGATCCCCACACCCTTAATGAGTGAGTCTCCAACCTTTGCAAACGTGCTGTCCTGTTTTTCAGCAAACACAATTTTGCCAGGGAAAGTGTAAAATTATTGTCTTTATTTCTTGCCTAAAGGTATGTGTATTAAATGTGTATTTGTACTAAAAATGCATGTTTAGCTCTATTAATTTTACCAAAATACTGCAGTATAGTAGCATAATGGATCACACTTGGCAGGTTTGTTCGATTGAAACGAACTCTCATGCGATTGCTCTGTTAGTGTGGTTCATTTAAATAAGTGTGAAAGCAGCCATCCGAACAAATGGACTGAAAAACATCCGCTTCCAAATTAATTCTGCTGCAGTACGACTGAAATATGAATGCAATCTAAATGACCCAAAGCAAGATGTGAGGTCTTATCTCGCCATAAGAGCTATATGTTGTCTATTACAGTTTGTTACAATTCCTGCTGCCGTTTTGACTCCTTTACATATATAAGCTCTTCGTGAGTTCTCAGCTGGTAAAAATATCTACGCACACATACAACAACAAGCACTTTTAGCCCAGCACACAGCATTGTTAGGTATTTTCAGTAAGTTCCGTCACAAAATACGTCATAAAAGCCCTTTTTTCTGCATTTTTAAGTTCTGTGTTAAAAATGCTAAGTGAACCAGGTATCAGTTTCTTAATAAACTGCAAGTGTGATGTCTCAATAACTAAAGTCTTCCAGTATAAATAACTTCTTATTGTGGGCTTCAGCTTCCTAGAGATCCTGATTAAGATTCGGAACAGGCACAATGACGTGGTGCCCACCATGGCCCAGGGTGTCATCGAATATAAAGAGAAGTTTGGTTTCGACCCCTTCATCAGCAGCAATGTGCAGTACTTCCTTGACCGCTTCTACACCAATCGCATTTCTTTCCGCATGCTCATCAACCAGCACAGTGGGTGACATCACATTCATGTTGGATAAATGTTAAGTAATTAAATACGACAGAAGAAATGTCCTGATACCAATTAGAAACTGGGATCTCAAGCTCCTGAAGTATGGCAATAAGCAGCCCTTTTAATCTGTTTCAGCTCTTCTGTTTGGCGATGCCACTTTTCTTGCACAACCAAAACACATCGGAAGCATCGACCCAGCCTGCAATGTTGCTGAAGTGGTGAGAGGTAAGTTAAAAGATACTTAAAATGCACAGATACATAACATAAACCATTTTGAAGATTCTGATATCTCCTTCCAGATGCATATGAGACAGCAAAGATGCTTTGTGAGCAGTACTACATGATGGCACCTGAACTAAAGATCGGGGAATTCAACTGTGAGAATGTGATCTCTCTTATTGTCTTAATAACATATATCAAAATCATAGTTGTTTTTTTAATCTATCTGTGCCTTCTTGTCTTATCTCACTCTATCTGCTAGCCAAAACCCCAAAGAAGCCTATACAGGTGGTCTATGTGCCCTCTCATCTTTTCCACATGCTGTTTGAGCTCTTCAAGGCAAGAGAAATAGACAGTGGGGTCATTTGAAAGGAGATGGGAAACTGGGTAACACTTTACAGTAAGGTTCAATTCGTTAACATTAGTTTATGCATTAGGTGCAAACAATGAAGAAATTGACAAACAACATTTACAGCATCTATTAATCTAGGTTAAAGCTAATTTATAAATATAGCATTATTCATTTGTGTTTAGTCATAATACATTAGAAGAAAACAAACAACATTTATTTTATTTATTTAAACATTTAAGGGCAGATATACAAAATTCTGTCATGAAACTCTAGATGGCACAGGGTGATACCGTAGGTCCTTAACTCAATCTGCTTGCAATCACATTGGCTGCATCCGAAATCACATACCATACATATAGTACTATATAGTAGGTGAAAAACAGTATGTGACCAGAAGTATGTCCAAATTCACTGAACAAAGAGTAGGCGAAAAGTACCTGATGACCTACTTTTTCAGGTGAAATTCTGAAGTGTGCATATGATGGACACTTTTTCTGTCCCATGAGGCCACGGGAGAGGATTTGTGAATGGGAGTAAAGCGTAACTGACACAGGTCACATGATAATGACAACAATGAGAATGTAGTATGCCTGGATTAAATTCATACTACACACTCTCATACTATATAGAACATACTTTTTTAGCGGTCATGAAGTAATTACTTATTCAAAATAAGTACATGTATGCGATTTCGGATTCAGCGATTGTTCTCTGTAGGGCACAGCTGGTTCCTGCTGTATCAGTTGCCAATGAGCTTGCTGCTCAACTGTCAAATACTTGGTCAGCGTTTGCTGTTATTAGTTTGCAGCGTGCCTTTAGAAAAAGTTTGCAGCGCATTTCCAGTATTCAACATCTAATACAAATGAACATTATTTTACTCCTTATCACTGTGCATTATTGCGTGGTCTGCCTTTTAATTCCTAAATCAGAACAAGTTAAAGTGAAATATGCTTCACACATGTATACACATTCAACCATATTTTGCTGTCACGCTCTCTGTCTAGTCATCTATTAATCTTTCACATATACAAATAGGAGGATAGAGGGTTTTGACTGACAATTATCAAATGCCCTAAATTATCATACTACCATAGAGCTAACATAGTGGGCTTTCTAATTAGGTAAGTTTTAACCGTATTGGCTTAGGCACAAATAGCATAGGTCATTAAGCGCCCCAAAAGAAAACCTTCTTAGTTTACTGGTATGCATGCACTGGTATGTAGGCACATACTGTATGTAGCTAACACCATCACTAGATAATTGTACAATAACTACAATAACTCATGTTATGTATTTTAATTAAAATCAAATTATTTAAAAAATGCATTACTGTAGAAATCTATGTGTAGAAATTTAACTCCAAATTGTAAAAAATTATTAGTATATGTAACCTAGATTAATAAATGCTATTAAAGTATTTTTCATTTTATGTAATGGATTAAATAACGTTAACAAAATGAACCTTATATTGAAGTGTCACGAAAAAGTTGCTTAGATTTTTAAGTGACGTTTTAAGTGGAATTAAATGAGGTGTTTCTCAAATGATCACGCTTTAGGTGGGCTTTTGTAAGCCATTTTATTCATTTTAATTTTATATATTTTTTGAGTAAGTCAGTATATTATGTACCGGTATGTATGTGCAGAATTCCATGCGGGCAACGGTAGAGCTCTATGAAAACAACAGTGAGGGTCTTTCTCCAGTGAAAGCAATGGTAACTCTGGGAAAAGAAGACCTCTCCATAAAGGTTCAACACATGCCTATTTCACAAAAACATGAATGTTTATGGAGACTTGCTTAAATCTCATAACACGTGCACTTTATTAATTTGATGCTTATGTGTCTGTCTTCTAAGATCAGTGATAAAGGTGGGGGTGTCCCTTTACGAAAGATTGATCGTCTCTTCAATTATATGTATTCCACTGCCCCAATACCACGTCTGGACTCCTCTCAAGCTGCTGTCCCACTGGTAAATACCCATCACAAAGCTTACGTCTGTGTTTATATGTATGTGTGGTTTCAAGCAACCTGTTTACATTGTCTCTGCAGGCTGGATTTGGCTATGGGTTGCCAATCTCCAGACTCTATGCGCGCTACTTTCAGGGAGACTTGAACTTGTACTCGATTGAAGGGCTCGGGACAGATGCAGTAATTCATCTTAAGGTAATTGCATTGACGTTTCTATCTGTGGGACACTTGGATTACAGTGGGTAAAAATATTAGCTTCGACTAGAAAGTCGCCGCCTCTCTCCACTCTCTCCAGGCTCTTTCGAGTGAATCTTATGAGCGTCTTCCAGTCTTCAATAAGTCAGCATGGCGACATTACCAGACAGGTCCTGAGGCTGATGACTGGAGTAACCCGAGCAGTGACCCACGAGATGCATCCACATATAAAGCCAAAAAATGACTTTAGTATAGCTGCTGCAGTAACTAGTAATGAACTGCTTACAGCTGCCAAGCTATACTGAACACTGCCAGATAAGGAAATTTGATTCTAGGCCTTTTTAGTACTTGCTTACTACCACTTCTAACTGTCTGAAAATAATACATTAAGTCGTGACGTAAGGAATGGTGTTTCCGGGTGCAAGCCTCTACTCGTTTCACTTGAGAATACTATCTCAACAGCCATTTATAGCCTATTTATTCATATTGCACGTTTAAGATAAGCATTTAAAAACTTAGTGTACACTACAGTCTCTGTGTAGTCTCATGGCATCCCGGGCATAAATATTTTAACAATTTATAAAAAGTTGAATCACTGTTTGGCCATCTGGGATTTCGGCATGGAGATAAAGGTTAGGAATCTAGGATCATGATTTTTTGGTAGTATTACAACCAACACACTGTGAGTGTATATTAGCAGTGTTTGAGTGCTTGGACCCGGAAGCGTTGACGTGTGACGTCAGACTTAATGAGTGAATAGTTTTACATCAGTGAGGGTGTGAAGGATGTTGGAAGAATGTTATGTGGAGAATACACCAGATTGTTAGTTTGATGTACCATGTGGCTTTTTCTTGCAATTTGCTTTATACACTGTAAAAAATATTAACCTGATTTATGACAAAAAAAAATATTTTGTCAAATCAACTTAGATGATTTATGTGGTTCAGATAACATTATATTTTGAGTTTCTCCTTCATTGTATTAACAACATTTTTTAACTTCAATAAATTAAAAATTTTAAGGCATCCAGGTTACTTAATTTTTGAAGTAACCACCAACAATATTTTTTTTACAGTGTATGATAAATTATTTTATTACTACAAATTATATAAATAAATTATTATACATACTCTACTGTTCAAAAGTTTAGGGTCAGGAATATTTTGTTTTCTGAAGAAATTATAAATTTTATTCAGCTTAGACAAATTAAATTTATCAAAAGTGAAGACATTTATAATGCTACAAAAGATTTCTATTTTAAATAAATGCTGTTCTTTTGAAATGTCTATTTATCAAAGCACAACTGTTTTCAACATTAATACTAATAAATGTTTCTTAAGCAGCAAATCAGCATATCAATGATTTTTGAATCATCAAAAATGTGATCATGTGACACTGAAGAAGACTGTAATGCTGAATGTAATGCTGAAAATTCTGCTTTGCCATCACAGGAATATATTACAATACTAAAATAGAAAATAGTTATTTTCTAATTGTAATAACATTTAAAAATAAGACTTTTTACTGTATTTTTGATTTTGTAAATGTAGTCTTGGTGAGCATAAGAAACTTCTTTAGAAAACTTCGAAAAAACCCGAATTGATCCAAAACATTTGAATGGTAGTGTAAATTATTATTAAATTATAGTTACTATCAAATATGCTTGTACTACTTATGCAGTGATACTGGCAAAGTAAAGAAACAACAGAACGAAAGGGAACTTGTTTCTTAGTTCCCTTTCGATACTGTTCACTCGCATTGCTTGAGAAATGTTCTCTCTTACACTATGGGAAAATACTGAAGCCTGATTCGTTCATGTCCTTTCAGCCCACCGGAATAGGCGAGGCCGACTGCCTATTTAAAGGGATAGTTCACTTTGAAATTAATTTTTGATATGTTTTAGCTTACCTCAAGGGCATCCAAGATGTAGGTGTCTTTGTGTCCACAGTATTTTCAATTTTGATATTTTTAGGTCAAACCGTTCTTGTCTGTCAGTCATATAATGCAGTCCTATGGGGTCCACCTCAAAGAGCATGCACAGAGAAGTCCAAATTAAACATGATTTAATGACTCGTAAATGTAAGTACACATTGATGGCCTAAGACACGAAACGAGCGGTTTGTGTGAGAAAACGAACAGTATTTATATCGTTTTTACCTCTTGTAAACACAGCCAGGCCCAAGTGATCTGAGGTCGCCGGCGCTTCGGTCTTTTCCGGAAAGCACCGGGAGTGATCTCTCGCGGACATTTGAAGTCATGTTCGTGGGGGCAGTACTCGACTCGTCCGAAATGCAACCCTAGATTTCGCCGGATCGCTCCCTGAAAATTGTCCAGCTGGCACATCAACTGCCTGCCTTTAAGGAATTTCAGTGGGAGCTCAGGGGGCACCATGTCCTGGTCCGGTCAGACAACATGACAGTGGTAGCCTATTAGGGCTGTCAACGAATATTCTAAATTCGAATATATATTCGAATAGTTTAAAAAAACAGAAATTCGAAGGTGAAAATTAATATTCGAATCATGTGGAAAAACACGCCCGCGGTAGCAAAGGCGCGGCTGTCTGCTTTGAGTGGCAAAATTCTGAAGCTTAAATAAAACGCATTTTCCAAATGCACAGCTAGCACAGTGAGTGTCTGGCTCACTCATTGGCTGTGCTGTGGCAACTGTACATCCAATGGCACGGGCGCCTCCAACGTGTGCGCCAATGAGCTAGCATTACATCAGACACGTCAGAGCCCGCCAAGGGGGCGTGGCCAGACGCCCTCGAAATAGCCATAGTAGCAGGCTAGCTAGCAGCAGTTTACCCATGAGTTTACCACAGCACAGCTCGCTCGGAGCGTTCAATGTCGGTTCTATATACTGTAAAGCTTCAATTAATGTTAATAATATTTGTTTCAATCACCGAATGAAGCCTGCTATATTTAGGACAAGAGTTGCGACCTTAAATTGCTTGCACAAAACTCGATCAGCACTCAACATTTGTTTATTGTTGTTCATTTAAACCGTTATGCGCAGAGAGCGTGAGGGCGAGAGAGAGAGAGAGTGCCTGTGAGTGCGAGCGAGAGTAAGGTCTGCGGTCTTGGCCATTAGTTGATTTACTTGGTTTTGTGTAAGTTAATACGTTGTCAAATATGTTTAAACTTAAATAAACTACCTATACAAGTGGTTGTGTCTCTTTGTATTAATTTGTCCTGTTATTGACGTAATGCGCAACCAGATATTCGAATAGTTCGAATATATGTGTTTTTTTTAGAGGGAATATTCGAACGTCATTTTTGAGCAATTTTGACAGCCCTATAGCCTATATAAGCCACCAGGGTGGTCTTAGGCCCCGTCTACTGAACAGACTGACACGATACCTACTCCTGTGGGCACAGGACAATCTCCGCTCAGTACGAGCTTTCCATGAACACGGGAGCAGATATTCTGTCCCGGAACGGATCACCACCAAAGACTGTAAAAAATATCACCACAGGGGAATGGAGACTCCACCCCCTGACGTTCAACGTGATTTGGAGCATTTTCGGGCCAGGCCCAATCCCTCTGAGAAGGGACCTCCTTTTCCAACCGAAAGGGTCAATTTGGCACCCCCAACCCGAGTTGTGCAGCCTCCACCAATGGCCTCTCGACAGGAGCCTCCAAGACTCCCCCGGAGGGTCATGAACACAATCTACCATCTACATCTACTATCTACATCTACGTCTACCAGGCGCCTCTATTGATAAAAGTGTGACATATTTACCGGCTGGTGCTCAACCCCGCTTATAGACCCCATATCCTGTGAGATCGAGTCCATCTTCTCTTTTCTTCAGGAGCTGTTGGACGGCGGACACACTCCGTCCACGCTCAAAGTATACACGGCCAGTCAATTGGGAAACGCAACCTGATGGTCAGATTTATCTGAGAGGCCAGAAGGCTATATCCGCCTCGTCCCAACGCAGTCACGAAGCAGAGACTGTCCTATTGGATAGTGGATGTTATAGTGCTACCCTACAAGTCAGTGCCCCATTGGAGTGAGAGCCCACTCCAGCAGAGGAATGGCCTCCTCTTAGACGTGGTCTGGTGGAATATCCATGGATGACATCTGTGCAGCGGCTGGCTGGTCATCACCATCCACCTTTATCAGGTTCTACAACCTGGACGTCTTGGTCCTTCAGGCACGGGTCCTGTCGGCCTAGAGTGGGCCCCACCCTCAGGGCAGGGTTTTTCTAAAATAACCATACCCTCAGACTCAGGTCATCGAACCCGAGTCTGCCCTTTCTGGACATTTGAAGTCCTTGACTCTTGTAGCCTGCCTGGGGCCCTCCTCACTGAGTGCCTCCAGGCTGTGGCTTCGCAGGATGGCTTCTGTTCTGCGCTGGTAGCACGGCTTTTTGCAGCCGTTTCTCATAGTGTAATAAAGAAAATCTCTCACGTAATGCGAGTGAACTGTATCGAAAGGGAACGCTCCCGTTGCTGACGTAACCTTGATTCCCTGCGATAACAGGAACAAGCATTGCGTATCATGCCGTGCTACTGCGCATATGCGCAAGTCGACACTGTCATGATTGAGAAAATCTGACTAGATGGCCGTTTCAGTGCGACTTAAATAAGCAATCGCCCTCGCCCATTCTGGCGGGCCGAAAGGCCATTTGTTTGTGAAATTCAGACGTGAACCAATCAGGCTGCAGTATTCAGAGAAAACTGAGTTTCCCATAGTGTAAGAGAGAAAATCTCTCACACAATGCTCGTTCCTGTTATCTCAGGGAACCGAGGTTACGTTAGTAACCGGATCGTCTCGGTGTTTGGCTAATGTATTGTGAATTTCAGTTTCCTGTTTTGCTCAAATATTTTCATTTGAGTGCATTGCTTTATATTCTACTGTATTCACATAATGGACAAGCACTGATAGCACTTTAATTGGCTAATGGATTAACGCCCATTTGTAAGTGCATGTGACTAATCTTATAGTAGTCGATGCTATGGTTTGAATGTGTACTTGAGAGCAATGTTTCAATAATGCCTCCCAATACAGGCTTTTATAATGCAGTTATTTTGCACTAGTTTCAAAATATTCCTGTATTTGCACTATGTGTGAGTATCCATCTATCAAATTTGTCAGCAATTCTCGGCCACTGTAAATTAGTATATTTGTTATGTTCCTTACATGATTGTGTCATGCCATATTTTGCAACGTCCTTCTTAGCTCATGTTAAATCTAACCTAATCAGTGTATTAAAACACTCTAACACATTAGGTCAAATGGTACACCATTCATTTCATTCAGAACAACATCCCACTTACAGGGGACATTCTCTGAACTTTAACTAACGTTCTGGCAAGGTTGTCTCAAAGTTATGATGAACAAACATTCTTCCAGTAACTTTAATAGAATGTTTGCTCAAAGTTATCTGGGGCCTCATTTATAAAATGATGCGTAGAAGCCATCCTACATTTGTGAATCGTGCGTACGCCTCTCTTCCAGAAGTGAAATTTATAAATTGCAAATGATCTCGAAATTGTGTACAGCTGAATGGTTTCAGACTTCCGCCTTGTAAATGCGGCCTAATTAATGTAATTTATTATTGTCATTACCAGTAAAGAGCAGCAGTCAACGTCCAAATCCTTACTTGAGAACGGCTTGCGACAAGAATTGATTAGATTTCCAAATACCTACAGTACTCCGACTCTCTGCCACAAGGAAAACACGTCAAAAACGGTAAATATGAACGTTGGCCTGGATTTTAGCATAGACAGTCTTCAAATCTGTGTGTACGTACGCACGTTTTATAAACTAGGACCATGGTCTTCAATAATGTTCTTAAAACATTGGCATTAAAACATTATTAGACATTTTTCATGGAACGTTTTTTCCCTGAAGCGTTTTATGTGAATGTTCACCTAAACTTTTTTTTTTTTATGTTACTACTTGTTTCAGAATGTTCAGCAAACATTCAAAAGTAACAATCCCATAATGTTTGCAAAATGAAATGTTCACATAACCAAGGAAAAAAGTTTTTAAAACATTAAAAAAAAACTGGACGTTTTGAACATTCAGAGAACATGAGCAAAACATTCTTAGAACATGTTGTTAGTTCAGATAGTGTTTAATAAAATACATAATTCATAAATATGTTTTATATATATATATTTATAATTACAACCATAAAGTTTTACTAATCACTCTAATTCTGTGAGAATAGTGACGTCTACATCACAGGGATAATGACAATGGCACAATTATCCTTATACAATTTTTTTTTCAGCTGATGGATGCTAAAAACATTGACAGACAATCAGAATCTACCGAACTTTAAAGAGCTTGAGCATTTAAAGCAGCAGATGCAGATGACAACTATGCTGCTGACTTTTAATAAACGGAACGTTATGGTCCCTTGGTGTGGATGCTAATATAGTAACAGTTATTCTAATCTTTCTTGGGGTGACCAGGCCTTAATTTGACAGACAAGTTATGAAGTGCTCAGTTCTGTTTAAATGTTATTACAAATCATGGCATTTAAAAAATTTTTTTTTCTACAGAATTATGAGGTCAGTCTGGATCTTTGAGCAGCATGCCATTGTAGATCTCAATTATGAAACATTTTGGTGCATAAAATACAGTAAACAGAATGAGAAGGTGCCTGCTTAGATGTGCAGGAGGTAGAGCCAGCATCCATCTACATTCTCCTCCTTGTCACCCTCACTACTGCTGACTGAGGCTCCTTTGGGCAGCGGTGAATGAAAGCGGTTGCCAGTGGGTGACGGGCGATGTAGAGCGTCTTCTGGTGGGACTGGAGCTGGGCGACGTACTTGGAGACTGATAGGGAGACAGAGCCTGGAGAACACGGCCACTCCGCTCCTGGATCATGTGCTACAGAGCACAAATTAAAGCAATTTGAAAAATGGTAAATAACACTGTACATACAATGCCTGAGTTTTGTTTGTTAATTTGTTAAGTGTCAAAGTGGTAATTGCGTTGCTGTCAATTGAGAACAGAAAGCTCTCAAATTTCATCAAAAAAGATCTTCAATTGTGTTACAAAGATGAACAAAAGTATTAAAGGTTTGGAACGACATGAAGGCGAGTAATTAATGACTAACCATTTAAGTTTTGTTTTCTAAAGAATGTATCAATTTATTTTTCAGAAAACTAAACTTTTTGTCTTATGCCATATTCCTTCTCAAGTATATGTATCTTGATTTAAGAATGTTTAGATATTTGTACTGGAAAACAAAGACAAAAATACTTGATAAGGAATTTTTTTGCCATGTACAAACTTTTACTTTTAATTCGGTGTGTCACTTGCCATTTCTTTGTAATCGTTTGTGAAATTTACAAGCAATTTCTGAGAGAAATTTGTTTCTACACCACTTTTTTTTTTTTCAGTGTACCCAGGCTTTATCTGGACCGAACAGCTCCAGGAAGTTTCCGATGAACTCGCGAGATTTCTCCTCCCATTTGTGGATGAGGTCGTGGCTCTTCTCTTCAACACGGTGCACTAAATGTTTGGACTTCTCCTCCACCGTCCTCACCGTCTCCTTCATTCTGTCCACCTGCTCTTGCAGACGATATTTCTTCTCCTGTCAATCAAGAGTCGGAATAGTTCACCTAAACATGTAAATCCCATCTTCATTTCATCTTCCTCATATCGTACCAAATTTCTTCCGTTGAACACTGAAGGATACATTTAGGAAATTTTGGAATGACCTGTCAACTCTTTTGCTGGCGATGTGTTTCAAAGATCACATAAAAGTAGTAAATACCACTTTTCTATTATATTCCAAGTGTTCTGAAGCCATACAATTTCTTTCTTACATTGATGAAGCCCACGTTGAGTTCCCGTGCTGTGTATCCTCTCTGCAGGTTACGCCTGACATAGACGTCATAGTCTCGAACAATGCGCGTGATGAGATCAGAGGTGGAGATCCCCTCCGTTCTTTGAGTAGCCACAAACATTCCTTACAGATCATGTAGAAGAAGTTTATTCTTATGAGTCCTTTGACTCAGCTCTATAACTGTGCAGTTTGGTTGCTGTTAAAGTCTTTACCTGCTTCTTTAATATGTTTGTAGACATCGTCTGATCCAGCAGAGGTGTATGGGATATCATCATGTGCCACAAAGTCAATCTGAGGACAACAGGAAAATAAATAAATAAATAGGTATGACACCATGAATTCACATTTTCAATGATCTCTCTATTCTTTTTGATTAACTTTTCCATGAATATGGTATAAAACAGAGCGTTCTCCCCATTTTTCAATATGGAAACTGAATGTCAAGTTCATTTTGAAATTATCTGTTTTATTTATTTATGTAATTTGCTATTTTTGCAACCCTGTTAAAGTTTTGGACAGAATGCAGTTTAAAATCTTGTCTAAATAGTTAAAAAACGTGATTTTGCAAGTGTCAAGCAAAAACATTAATTTTAAAAAAAGGTCAATATTGTGTAAATATAATAATACAGTAAAAATAGAAAACTGTACCGAATGTTTAACAGGCAAGGTTATTAACTGAACATTAACCGAAATGAAATAAAATATATAAAAATGCGTAAACTTATTTTATTTTAGCTAGCTGTCAAGGCAGTATTTCTCATTTTCAGTTAGTTTAAGTTGAGACAGCAAAATAACAAACTAAATAAACAAAAACAATTATAAAAAAACTAATAAAAATGACAAAAAATTATAATAGTAAATCAACTACTAAAATAGCACTGGTAACAGGGTTGCAAATGCAGTCTAAATTAAGGTGTCACTCAGTAGCTGTCAGGCGCTGTGTAGGCTTTTGTAAGCGAATGATCACAAAGGATAACAAAAGGAGTCTTTAATAGTAAATTCCACTAGGAAGACGTAGGAGAATCACAGGGAAGAAGCTCAGGAAATAGGCTTTCCAACCAGAACAATGAAACTAAACCAAAACAGAACACGTTACATTAGCAGCTTGCTACTATTTGAGACAACAAATGTTGGGTTGTAGTTATTAATAAACGAATATCAATGTACATTTATTTAAAAAAAAATATTTATTTGATTATTTTTTCATACAATAACTTGACAAATGCAGTCAACAGAACAACCTGTGTAAAAATTAAGATAATGTAATGAAATTATTTACTTGTCCTCTCTTCAAAATTGTGTTAATTAATTCTTGGATGTCAAGATTTTAAAGAATGTTATATGTTAATAGGGGAAAAGTTTTGTGGTAACAGGGTTGCACACAAAATGGACATAATTAAATTATACATTTTATGTAATAATGTTTTTTTTTTTACTACAGTGAACTGAATATTAATTTACCTTGTGTTTTTGAAGGAATTCAGGAGTGAGGGTCCAGGGAGCATCACGGACCACCTCGTCCACATAACGACAGTGTATGAGGGCTTCATATCGCTCGTCCTCCGTCATCACTGTGTAGCCTTTATACTTGTGCGTCAGAGCATCACTGCAAACTGACAGAGATGCACACAAGGTATGGAGCAGTCATCAGGCATGGTTTAAGACAATGAAAAAGAGACTAAAGACTAAAGTCGAATAAACCTTTGGCTTTTCCAAATTTTGGACATGAGGCTAATAGACCTTAGTCAGGATAGCGCCATATAAAAAAAATTCACGGGAATAAAAACGAGGCTGTGAGAGTGTTAGATGATATCTTTATTTCTCAGTGCTGCCACAATATTCTCAGTCCCCCTTCACTCAGGAATGTATGGGCCCATGGTGGGAAGAGTCATGAACATGGAGACGAGTCTCTGTTTACAAAACTTCTTCAGCTTTATTTTCTGCACATCAGCTTTTAGGGAGGTGGAGAGATAGAATAAAGTGTGTTCAATGGATTGTACTGTTGTTTAAAATCATACTGATTGTTCAGCTGACAAAACATCTTTCCGAAAAAAATAAAAATATCTTTCAGTAGACAAAAACTCTATAAAACAGTTCTGAAAGTAGTTGTGAAAATTAAGTGATCTAGGTGTCACATCCACCAGCTGGAGTGCACATGATCACCACCAGAGGGCACCCCTCCCATCTCCTTGGATTTCCTATCATGAACTGCATTTCCCATAACCCATTGCCTGGACTTATGTTTGATTACTTTCAACTGTGTCTCATTATCTTGTTAATGCCTGCCTATTTAAGCCCTGTGTTTTCACTCATTCTTTGCAAAGTCTTGTAAGTGTCACACTGCATTTCTGAGTGCGTGCCCTCTGGTTACCTTTGTTTTGGTTGTGACTTTCTGCCTAGTTTCCTGAATTTCCCTGTTTGCCTGTGTTTTTCTGCCTTGCTGTCTTTTTGGATTATCTTCCCTGTGTTTTGATCAAGCTGCAACTTTCTGATCTCTCTCTTGAATCCAACATGGAAGTGGCTTAAACTGAAATTCATCGACTGGCCACTAGAGACAGGCTCCAAAAAATAGTCAATCCCATATACTCCCCATGTAAAGATGCCCAACTTTACAGCAGAAAAAATGTTAACAGCCTGGTACAAAAAGTGGGTTTGGTCTATGTATCTAATTTTGCCTTTCATGACAACTGTGAGGGGGGGGGGATTTTTATTTTATTTTATAACTCATCCGTTTAAATTATATTAAGCCTTAAAATGCATAATTAAGGCCGTTTGTCTGCTGTCTGTTAGCCGTCGCGTCACCGCCTCTTTGCCCATTTTCGTTTATCCGGGAGCGTTGACGCGCTGCCAAGATGGCGACGGCTGGCTCCGCCCACTTTGTGGTTCAAAAATGCTCTTCAGAAACCTACAGGTGATGTCACAGACACCTTTTTTTTACAGTCTATGGTTTTGACCTATTGCCTGTTTTATGGATTATGATTCTGGATAATAAAGCTGCATTTGGACCCTTAACTGTGTCATAGCAGTTTGTGACAGTAGGACCAATGGACAGTGTGTGCCATTGTAAAGACTGTTTCACTCACAGCCTCATTTGCGTTAAATTCAATATGGCGTCTAACCTGATGTGTTGATGTGGTTTTGTTGCAAAACTGGACAAGAGTCTGTGCATACGCCAGTGTGACTCACCACCAACAATCAGTTGTGTGTTTGGGAACAAATTCTTGGCCTGCATCAAAGCACGGGCATGACCCGAATGGAAGAGGTCAAAGATTCCATCGGCATATACTCGCACGGGCCGATGAGCTGCACAAAAAACAAATACATACTTCGAGTACAGTTTGGATTCACCAATTTGTATGAAAATATTTTCTCTTACCCGTATCGCTACACTGGACACTTTCTCTCACCTGGAGTGCCACGGCGTGCCTGGGCTAAAGTCACTTTGTCTTGAGGGGTGTCCGAGGCACTGCCTGATTGTTTAGCAAAAATGGCTGGTTCTCTTAGAGCCTATCAGAGAAATACTGGCTGTTATTATTAAAAATTACTGGAATCAGGTCCTGTAAAGCACATGAAACTGTCTAAAAAGCTCTCTAAAGCTGCCTTGCAGCAGAATACAGCGTTTTTAATTGCTATCGTGGATCAGTGTGAAAGGGGATCGTTTTGACAACATTGTCATCTGTACGCGAAAAACTCGAAGGAAAAAATATTTCCATTTTTAGTACATCGTTGGTGTGTACACATGCCCTAAAATACTATACAAAAATTTGATTGCAAAATGTACAAATTAGTTTTTTGTACCTCCTTGAGCAATTATATTGTCCTTGTTTGATAAGAGGAGCTGAGCAAGCACTCTATAAATATGCAGGTGTTCAATAAATGTGCATGAATGAGTGTGTGCACAAATTCCCAATAATCTATGATGTTGGAATTGCCCTTTAGAACCATCAGCTGTTCAGGAGGGAACCCCTCAGAGGGCCACTGTCAGACAGAGATAAATAGTTATAATCACACCACACCACACCACTGCTTGATGGATCTGATTGGTGGATATGAACTATGAGCTGTATATAAAATAAATAATAATTTCCGTGACTTTATAGAGGAAGGCATCAGGCTTGGAATCTGTACCATGTACTCAGATAACAAACTTCATAGATTATGTAAGAGAAATACCAATGATTATAAGCCATGTGCTGCTCTTTTGGTTTCATATTTCCGTCTAATGAATTTTTAGTGTATTTTAAAGCATTCATTCATACAATTCATAGATTTCTCCATATAAAGTGGATACATATTTCACTGCAGTAAGTTATTTTCTTCATGGTTAAGAATATTGGTTACTCTTTACTTCGATGGTCCACTTCAGACATTGCACTAACTATAAGTAACTTGTCAACTAACTCTCATTAGGGTAATAGAATAAGTTGACATGTAGTTTCAAAGTTAATTATAGTCAGTATAATGTTTAAAGTGGACCATCGAAATATAGTGTTACCAGAATATTTTAGAGAGGACAGAAACAGGCCGGAATCAGAGCCAAACAGATGCTGCATAGTCAAATTATGAAATTATAATATTATTAGTTGTTCAAACTAACCTTAATAGGTGGCCGCTTGCGTTGCTGCTTTTGTTGTGGTTGAACTCCTCCTCGACCAGCACGGCCATTAGCACGGGATCCATTTCTTCTCCTGTTCGCCATGGCAAAGATTTTAGTTTACTCTTATTTGGCTTTGCACTGGTTGCACTCACCCAGATATGTGACAAGCCTTTGCTTTTACTCCTGTACTGATAACTGGCCAGTCACACTGACCCTTGTGACGAGGCAAAGGAGCAAAGGTTGTTTTTCATCTGCCTTTAATACAATCTAGGCTCAATTAAATGTATTGTTTTTAAAAATTATTGTGTGCTGTGTTCTTCCTATTTGTTGTCGTGAGTCTCTGTTTATTTACTGGAAGCCTAAATAAACAGACTGGAAGCCTAAATAAACCTCTCGACAACTTCTGCACATGGGGAGTGTCAAAATAATATCAAAGTTAAATATACTGGTCACACTTTATATTTGGTGTCTTTAGTATGTACTTGCCATAAAAATAATTGATTGGTACAGTGTACTTATTGTGTTCATGTTGTATTGCAAAACACTTTTGCTGCTGTTGTGTGCTTTTGTTACTAAAAACTTAAAATAGCTTTACTGCATAAGTGTGCACACCTGTTTATAGTTGGGTATGTAGCTGTGTTCAGAATTAACTAATCAGACAATTCAACCAAATATAAAGTATTTATTCTCTTCCTCTTCCACCTGCACCGTCTCCTCCTCTAATGGGCCTACCCTTGTCACCACCCTCTCTGGGCCAGCATCCTCTAACCTGGTCTTTTTAGGGGGCTTTCCTCTCAGGGCGAATGAGAGGATGCTTAATTGCTTTTTACCTGACATCTTTGAAAGACAGATGCAATGATTAATGCATCCATGGCCAGGATATAATTATAAAATATGACATGATTTTAAAAGTGACCTATAACATCGACTATGCAATACACTTTATTTTATTTAGTGCTTATAAAATTATTAAGCCTATTTGGAGAGAGAGATGTTTATAATGTGACAATATGTCAGTCATTGTGTGATAACGAAAATATGACTAAGCCTAACTACTTGTTCTGAGCAGGTGTTGTCAGTGAACAGGCTATAAAACTGTTGGCTAAGTTACAGACACGTGGAAAAACTGATGCTAATTATCTGGGAAACATTCTCTAACAGCAGTCAAGTTGTCATTGTTTGTGTCAAACAAGTTGTGAATTTTTTGTAACATTAAAACAGGATATCATGACTTATCTTGAATCTTACCCAGATACAATAGTGCTATTTTCTGATTGGCTATTGTGTAGCCCCTTTCTTTTTTTTGATTGGCTGATAAGTGGCAGGCTCGACTAAGAACTCCAGGGGAGACGCGCTTGATTCCTGCCGGTTCCATAGTGAGAGCGGCGCGGCCAGAGAAATTTTGGGCGCTGTGGCATATTAAATATATTATAAATCGTTTTTCAGCGTGAGAAATACAATGTGTGGCGAGAGTGCGTGACAAAAGACCAAAATGAGTGACTGTCACGCTCAATGCGTGACACTTGAGAGTCCTGCAGTCGATTTTGGCACAGAACCTTCTGCCGTCTGCTAGAATGCTGAAAATAAAGAGAACTTTCATCTTTTAGTATGACAGTTCTGTCATGACAATTCTCTGAGTGTTTGGCATGTACAATGTTGTATGTTTGGTCTTGGCGGAATAGATCTGCAATGCTGCTGCTGCTGCTTTTATTGCTACTGCTGCAGAGCAAGTACGGGACATGCTACTGCCAATGCATACACAGACACGCTGCTGTGAGCAAGCAAGACATCCTGCTACTGTACAATATAGTGTACATGAATTACCCGTAGCAGATCTATTCAGGTGCACGCTGCACTGCTAATGCAAATGCTACCTAAGTATTTGAAGATTGAGTAGCGAGCTCATTGGCTACTGATACAGCAGGAACCAGCTGTGCCCTATAGATAATGATGTGATTTAAATGACCTCATTCCAGAACTTTTTATCCAACATACACCCTTGATAAATATGATCAAAGGTGGCTGTGAAAATAAATCTGCATAGTTTTTCCTTTAGATCTTTCATTAAAAAATTCACAAAATTCTAACTTTTCATTGAAGTAAAACAATTGAAAGTGGGGGGAAATCTCATTATGAAATAAATGTTTTTCTCTAGGTCACATTGGCCACAATTATTGGGACCCAGTTATTGCAACGTCCTTTTGCCAAGATAACAGCTCTGAGTTTTCGCATATAATGCCTGATGAGTTAGGAGAACTCCTGACAAGAGATCAGAGACCATTCCTCCATACAGAATCTCTCCAGATCCTTCAGATTCCCAGCTCTATGTTGGTGCTTCTTCTTCTCCCCACTCATTTTCTATAGGGTTTCAGGTCATGGAACTGGGACGACCATGGCAGAAGCTTAATGTTTTGCTCAGTGACACATTTTTATGTTGATTTCGATGTTTGTTTTGGATCATTGTCCTGATGAAAGACCCAACCAAAGCCCATTCTTTCTTGTCAGGGAAAGAATGGAAATAACATCACTGGAAATAACAGGACCCAAGCGCAGAGATGAGTGGTGAATGGTGTTTTATTAACAATAAAGTGTGTAACAGTTGCACAGTACAGAGACAGTCCCACAACAGATATCTAGACAGGAGACTTGGGCACAGGATTGAGCAGCCCGCGAACTAGCAGTCAGTGGAGTCTCAGGCTGGGCAGGACAGTTACTCGAACACACACAGACACACAACAGGGGAGAAACAAGACACAAGAACAAAACCACTAAAACATTAAATAAATACAAGGCAGGGCAAACACAAGAGTTATGTGACTGAAAACCTAAACATATACATATAAGGAAAGAAAACTAAACAAAACACTTAAAGGAAATAATTAAAGTAAAACAAGTACACAACAGTAGAAATCTAGGTAATAGATGAGAGTGAATAATAAATCAAAGAGAAAACCAAAGTAACAGAAACTAAATCTATAAATCCGAGAGACAGAACCAAACAAAAACTAGAATAGCTCAAGTAAAACAAGACAAAAGGCTAAATAATAAAGAGAAGTTAGACTAAGAAAACCCCAAAGCAGGGCTGGCTCTGTAAATCTGGGGGCCCTAAGCAGGAAAATTTTGGGGCCCTGCCTTGCAGTAAATAATGGAGTATTGCCACCGCAAACCAGCAAATACAATCTAACCCTAATCTAACAAATCTTCAATAAAGTTGTTGCATATAGGCTAACAGGTGTTGCTGGAGTCTCGATCTTTGAACTTTTCCCTTTTCCACACTTTAAAAAGAGGGAGAAGTTGGACCAGTAATTTCTTTGCTTCCTTCTAAAGTGATTTAAACATAGATAGACCTATTCTTCTTTTTTCTGCACCCGATGGATAGACTCGTTTCATTTTTGCGGTCAAATTTCCAAGTCCAGGGAAGACAACGATCTCAAACTTTTTCGGTCATTCCCCACTTTGGACAAGGGGGAATTTTCAAGCCCCACTGCCCCCATCGCCCCAACACAATGCCAATGAAATACGCAACAAGCTTAAAATGTTCCAATTTATTGAAGTAACAAGTAGTATCTAAATACAAACTAACTATCTACATCAAATAACATAACAGAAAGTTCAAAAATAAAGAAAATAAAAGTGCAGCTGTGTCATAACTTGCATGGAATTCAAAAATAGAGAAAATAAAAGTGCAGCTGTGTCAAAATGTGTATCAAGTTCAAAAATAGAAAAGAAATAAAAGTGCCACTTTGCAATCTGTTAAAAAAGAAATGAAGAGAAATCCCTTTGGCAAGACAGGTCTATTTAAAAAATTTAAAATAGACATAACATAGGCTACTGTGTTTGATATGGGATTAAAATGATGGGCAGTGTATGAGATATAAACTAATGATTAATTATTTTAATATTCCTTTGTTCCGATCAGAGCATGAGCGGAGAGCGCATTTCTGAATATTCCTCGGCTCGCTCATTCCGGCGCTCAGGGTCGCGCGCTCAACCCTGCTGGTTCGAAAATATGTGGAATAAGGGCTGCCTCCGACTAAAGTTTTTTTCTAGTCGACTAGTAGTTGTTTATTTAAGCCATTAGTGGACAAATCGCCCCTTTATATTGATTTAATAACTTAAATAGGCTATACAGGATAATGAGTGTTATAAAGCCGCACTCAAGCGCACGAACCGGCAAAAGTAGCCAGGCTAATGATTATGAATGTGTAAAAAATAGCAAGGAGACATTTAATTGTTTATTAATAAACTGGTGTTTTCTGCGTCGTTGCAAAGATTAAGTTGACGATGCGGACACGCCATGAACGAATAAAGATATAAAGGCATAAAAAGGAAAATTTCCTCCCGTTGGCGCGCCCCACCTGTCACGTCTCTATTCCCCACCAGTGGGGCGCGCCCCACACTTTGAGCAGCGACGCCGGCGACTACCATCTGTAGTTAGGGGGCCCCCTAGTGGCGACGGGGCCCTAAGCAGCCGCTTAGTTCGCTTATGGGGAGAGCCGGCTCTGCCCCAAAGGAAAAACTGCAAGGATACAAGAAGCTACAGAGAGAACTCTGGAAAATCACACCTGGGTAAGAACATGATACTAAACAACGATATCAAAATGATACCCATTCACATGGATCCGCGAAAATTAATAAAAACCCTGTATTCTGGTGTCAGGCCATTAGATGGCGATGAAACATCTAGGTTACGACTGTAACCTCTGTTCCCTGAGAACAGGGAACGAGACACTGCGTCGAAACGCATTGGGGGAACGCCTCAGGCATGACAGGTGTCTGAAACAGTTATCGAATCACGGCAATACTATTGACCTGCGACAGCCCATAATGTCATCATCGTGTGACCCGGAAGTATAAAAGGGGCGCCTTGCAAACATGACATTCACCTTATTGTCTGAAGGGACTGTTTGGTAGGCAGGCCCAGAGGCATGGCAAGGAGACGCAGTGTCTTATTCCCTGTTCTCAGGGAACAGAGGTTACAGTCGTAACCTAGACGTGCCCTTTCGAAAGAGAACTCACACTGCGTCGAAATGCATTGGGGAACGATATGCCAATGCCACCATGCTAAGGGGAGTGCATGCCAAGTTGCAGTGGCACAACTGTCAGATCCAGCAAATTCAAATGAAACGCTAGAACCACTCACCCTCAGGTCACACTGGGCTGTCAGTGACAGCATTTCCTACAGTCATAGCCCAAGCTATAAGCCTA